AGAGAAATTGGACAAATTAACATTAATTCGGTCTGGAAGAATTTTAGTATGATGCCAGCAATTATAAATGGTTTGTGGTGACACTTCCTTCCAACTTTCAATAATAAATTTTATTGCTTGTAATACATCCATTTTTAAATTTTTTATATCATTCCCTGCTTCAACTTGTTTTAGAATCCAGTTAATGTGTAAATGGCGATAGTGTCTTTTAAAAGACATAATGATACCAGCATCCATTGGTTGGATTTTTGAAGTGGTATTTGGGGGGAGAAAATGGACATCAACATTTGAAAGAACCAAACCATCTATTTTGTGACTTGGGCAATTATCAAGAAGCAATAATACACGCTGGTCACCATATTTTGAAGCAACCTCTTTGTTGAATCCTTGGAGCCAATCCTGAAAAACAGTAGATAACATCCAAGCCTTTGTATTATTACAATATGTCATTGATAAGTTATTAAGGTTAACATTAATAAAGCATCTTGGTTTTTTAAATTTTCCGATTATTAATGGATCCAATTTATGTGATCCATCTGAATTAGCACATAAGGCAATTGAAAGTCTTTCTTTATTCTTTTTACGTCCAGAAAGTCTTTGTGTGGCTAATGTTCTATCTGGTTCTAATCTATAAAAAAGACCTGTTTCATCCATGTTGTATATTCTTTCAGGTGGATAATTACTACACATATTTTTTAATAATGGTAAGGCTTCAGTAATTGCATTTAGATCAGCTGATGATGCCTCTCCTTGAAGCTTTTGTACTTGAATTCCATTATGTTTTTTAAACCTATGGAGCCATCCAGAAGAGAAAGCCAATGTTTCTTCTGGTACCCCCAATCCATTTGCTATTTCCTTGGCTTTTTCAATTAAAATAGCATCGCTTAAGATTACTCTGTTTTGATAAATTAAAATAAATTCCTTAAGAGCAAGTTCAAGTTCAGGAACTGTTAGATTTTTGTGTCTTTTGGTATCTGGATTAGTAACTTCAGTATTAAGTATTTCTTCTTTTTTTTGCAGAATTCTTGTTATAGTTGTTTCAACCACTTTAATTCCCCATTTTTGTTCAATCCAACCAACATATTCTTTTCTGGTCATTTTATTATTAGAGTTTGCAAATAAACAAAATTCATATTTTTGAGAATTAGATAAAGTTATTTTACTCTTTGGAGGCATTTTTATTTAAAAGTAATAAAGGAATAAAATATTTTAATGAGATAAGTGTGAGTGTAAAAATTAGATGGTTGGATACGTAAGAATATATAGGTTAAGTTATAATGGAAGTTTTATTTTTTAAAATTTATTACAAGAGTTTAGTTATTAAATAAATTTCTTGATTCATGTCTTATTTATGATAATTTTGACTGCATAAGCTTCTCTACTTGTTTTCTTTGTTCTTTGTTCTAATAACAATAACCTTTGTATCTATTAAAAAAAAAAAGAATTCTTTAGTTTCTTGTCACTTAATAAAAATGAACAATTCTTTACCCGCCTGTTACAAAATAATTCTTTATCTCTTGCTAATAATAAATTTAATTCTTTATTCATTATCATCATTTACTAAGTATAAATTTAATTCTTTTATATTCTTTATCATCATTTACTAAGTATAAAATTTTAATTCTTTATCATCTCTTACAAAAATCAATTCTTTATACATTTTTTTTTTTTTAACACAACGAAGGAAACAAGGAAAAATTATTTAATTTATAACGTCGCACAATTTTTATTGGACGATGATCACGTGAAAGTCACGGGCGTGCACTTAGAGAGGGAGTTTTATATAGTTGGGAATGGAAAATGACCGTGCAGTGCAGGGGAGAGGGGGTGTGCACTTAGAGGGGGTTGACTGTAATTGGGAAACTCGGATTGCACGCTCGCAACAGTGAACTTTTAATAGTAGACATAACTTGGAAATTTAGATAATATTGACCAAGTTTTGGAAAGAAAAAATCCAGTAGGTTTATCTGCTGTAAAAAAAAATATTTAAGTGAAGTTTCTAAGTATGTTAAAATCCTGTCAAAAAAAGTTTTTATTGTAATTTTTGAATTTTAATAAAAATTAGCAATGATCTACAAATCATGAATTTTGGGGGTCAAAATCTTATTTGTTGATTTTCTAAAACATGATTTTTTTGACATGCCTCGTTTCTATTGATCAGGCCCCATATATTGACTTTAATATTATTATTTATTCTTGTTTCAGAATCTAAGATATAAAAAAATAAAAAAATAAAAATAAAAATTTGTAATCTATTCTAGAATACAAGGAGATAAAGATCAATTATTCATTTTTCAATTTTACCAAATTGATTAAAAATTTAGCAACAATCAAACTAGTTAATTTATAAATTGTAAAAACACTAATCACAAGAGTAACTAATACTATTGAAAGTAAAGCAAGGTAAACATCAAGATAATTTCCTTTGATATATCCCATTCTTGAGTTTGGAGGAATCCATTCATTTAAATATGTACTATCGATTTCATTACTGCTACTACTACTACTATTAAAATTACTGTTATTGATGTTACTGTTTAATTTTTCCTTTGATTCATGTGCTTGAATTGTATATTCAATCAAATCGGCAGCCCTGTGTTTTCTTTTACTATTAATTCTAGCCAAAAATTTCATTTTTTCGCCATTAATCTTAAATTTTTCTTCACGTAACAATCGTTGTAACTTGATTAAAATTTCTTCAACGTTTAAAGTCATCTTGTCTAAAGTTAAAGCAACTCCAGCAAACTTTTCCAATTTCTCTGCATTTCCATGTTGATCCAAAGCAATTGGTAGTGCTAATATAGGTTTACCGTTATACAATGCTTCATTAGCACTACTTGCTCCGGTATGACTTAAAAATACTTTACAATTTTCATGTGCCAAAATCGAAAATTGTGGTGCAAATGATAAAATATGAATATTTGGATGTTTGTTGTTGATTATATCAATTGTATCGAACTCTTTGCCATTTGATAAAGTTATGGTTTTGGGTATTTCTTCAAGTATTATATTTGATAATCCCCAAATCACACCATCAAGCACATTATTCTCAATTGCTTCGATAAATGATTGTAATAATATTCCATTGTTTCTTTCTGAAACATAGAATTGTGTGCCAAACGCTACTAGCATTGTACGCGGATGATTATCTAGAAATTTTTTTGTTTCTGGTGATAATGGTGGATAACTATCTGACATTATAGGTCCAATTTCCTAAAATTCAAAACATTTAAAAAAAAATCAAATTTTTTTTTAAAAAAAGGAAAAAAATACTCTATAAATTTACCTGAAGGATCGGCGATGATGGAAATGGAACGTCAAATCCAGAAAATGTATCAGACAAATATAAATTTTCTTTAGTTCTTTCATATAGATCGGTAGGAGCAATACCTACTTTTGCCCTAATTTCATTTATCTTTGAAATTTCAGGAAGAGATGACAAAGCCATTATGACTTTTGGGGTTAAAAAGCACCTGAGTCTTTCTAGAAACGATTCGTTTTCCATATTTACATGACAACCAAATAATGGATCAGATTTATATGGTGGTTGCTCAAGAACTACAACATCGTAATATAAATATTGCTATTATTAAACAATAAATATAATTATATAATCAATGAACACTTTATCCAACTATTTTTACTAACTTGTTAATCCGACTCCCAAAGAAACCATAGGCTTCTTCAATTTCCAAGCCATATCGAAGCACACTTCATTATTCACAAAATCACAAAGAAACAAGTCCGGCTTCACTTCATTGGACACTCTTTCATAAACATAATGTTGATTTAAATATCTATCACTTATCGTCTTGATAACTGCGGATATAAATGAGCTAGTTGCTTTTCCGTAAACTATTTTTTCGAATTGTTTTCTTGCATCGATGGTATTTGTACCTATAGAATAATGTTTAATTTTTTCATATTCAGGCTTTGAAGAATAACTACCTGGCGAAAGTAGCGTAACCTAAAAATATTTAGACGTTAAATTTTTTTTACAAAAGAAAATAAATTAAATTATAATGGTGATTCGTTACTAACATTATAACCACGTTCGACTAGAATTTTAGATATATCTAACAAAGGTCTCAAATGACTCCATCCTAAATATTAAAAATTTTTTTTTTGACATATTTATTATTTAATAATTTTAATAATAATAATAATAATAATAATAATGCACCTCCAGTAAAGCTTCCCACGATGATATTTCTAACTGTTGAATGGTCGCGTTCAGCTTTATAATTTAATTGATCTGCGTTGATCAATAATGAATTGGCAATCAAAATAACCAACAATAATTGTGTTAAAAGAAAATTGGTTAATGTTTTTTTCATGATTATAATAATAATAATGAAAGATTTTTTATGAATTGAATGATCAAGAAGATTTAAAAGTTTTTACGAGAGAAAATATTTTCTTGGTGAATTTATTAAAAATATAATAATATTTTTGTTATTACTCTTATTTGGTCATTTTATCTCTGTTATATAAGGAATAATATATTAGGGAATAAATATTAGAGATATCATTCGTCGCCGTCATTATATTGTTTTATTTTTTATCTGCTAATTATTATAATAATAAAACTCGGTTGTCAAACTTGGAAAAAATGTATGTGAAAAATTCACCATAATTATCATCGGTTAAATTTCCCCGGTCTTAATTTGTACAACTTCCCCTTTCTATTCTTAATAAATATTATTATCACGAAATTTTATTCATTTGCTATTGCGGATAAAAGTTTTGCCTATAGCGGGATATATTATCCATTCCATGAATTTGTCGAGAAGACATCAGAGATATCCATGCCATTCCAAAAGGAGGAAATTTTTACCCATTGATAAAGGATTTGCCTTTCTGAAAACGTCCGATTAGGTACATTATTATTATTATTATTATTATGATAGTAAAGTTTTCCCGATCTTTGTAAACAAAAGATGGTGATTGCAATGTGAGCAATAATAATAATACAAGTAATAGAAGGATGCGCATCAAAATCTTTATTCAAAAGGAAAAGGTCATTTAGTTAAATTGAATAAAACATATGATCCTTTACCAGATATATGATTCCTGATCAAGGTCCGAATTGAATTCTTCTAAACTCCGAACTTGTATTTCTCGTGACTCAGAAAGATTAAAATTAAGATCCAACTAAACCTTAAGAAAAAAGGATAATAAAATTATGCGAAATTTTATTCGTAAAAAGAATGACTAATAATAATATTATTATCAATCGTCTTTTTAATATTGATAGTATCTAATCTACCCATCACATCTCTCCGCTATACGTGGAATTAACTTTAAACTTTAAATCTTATTGCATAATTTGTGTTGATTTATTAAAAAAGATAACTGGTGATGATAAACAAAAGTTTGATGAATTAAACAATATATCTTTTATTCGCCAATATGAATGCAATTAATATAATCAATATTTAAAATTCAAATAAGTTTTTATTGATTTCGAAACAAATTAGAAAATAAAATTATTTGCATGGCCCCGACCAAATTCCATTGATCATCATTTTCTTCTAAAACACTTTACTTTTGGTTTTTTTTTTTTTGCTGGGGATTGGTTTCATTTAAATTGTTTTCTTTTAATTGATATCCATCTATGAATCAGAGAAATTTATTACAAAAATGCGGGGGAGAATAAATAGTCGTCGAATAACCATAAATATTTCGAATAGTCATGTTAATAATATTACACATTTCGAATATTCGAATATCGAGTGATGATAATTAAGAATATTCAAATATCACTTTTATTTTGATCAGAATACCTCTAAATACAAGCAAAGCCGTTTTCTTTATATAAATATTAATATACTACTATATACAAAACTAAGTCAGTATTTAAACCTGTTAGGATATTTATTAGCGAGAAAGGCAAATAATAAATATGTTCTCTGAATTTTATTTTATTTGTACACACAAAAAAAAATTATCTTGCAAGACAAAGGTATAGATAGTAACTTTGATTTTATAAAAAGTTACTGATTATTGTGTTTCCTTTATTTTCTCCAATATAAAATAATTTTTTTTTCCAGAAATCAGAAATAATTGGATTTAATGTATTATAAAATTCTTCGAATTTATTTTTGAATTCTTTATTTTTGTTTGCTTTCAAATGACTTTTTTGTTCTGATACTTTTAGTAGGGATGTTAATCAATTATACAAAAATAATAATAATTATAAAATCGTGTTAAATAAATTAACAGCTGCAGTAGTAATGAATGATAATAACAACAATAATAGCAATAATAGTATAATAATATTTGAAGCAATTTTAATTTTAATTAAAATGGTGGTGTGGTAATGAAAAAAAAATCCCAATACTTGCTATTTTAGCCAAAAAATATTTGGCAATTCCTTCTTCATCAGTTCCTTCGTAAAGACTTTTCTCAAATTACTTTGTTACGAAATAAACTTAGCTCACGGTCTGTTGATGATCATGTTCTTTTTTGAAATTTTTTAGTCGTCAAATAATAATAATAAATTTTTAAATTTATGTTGTAGATAAAACGGGATGACGTCCAATCGTGTTTTGGACATGTGACCTGGTTTCTTCCATTTTATTAATAATGCTGTAATATGTAAACGTTAACTCATAAGCATAAAACAATCAAAAGCTGCTACTACTATTGCTATTTGCAATGTAAAAATCGATTATTTCGATTTCGATTATTATTATCAATTATTATTATCCCTAAATGGTCATGTAACCTCCAAAATTATGTATTATGTTAATCAAAAAATAATCAAATTATAATCATAACTTTTTTCATAATGGTTAAATATACTGATGAAATGTTTGATTATCAACCTGTCGCTCATTCATCAGGAATCTTATTAAAATTAATAAATAGTATCATGAAATATATTATAATTATAAATTAATTCGTAAGCTTTTTGGATATAAATAAAGTCTATGCCAAATTTTGTATATATATATATATTACTTCTTTGCCTGCTTATCATTCATTCACTATTATAATTGTTTTCATTATCACTTGTAAATAATTCTAATATGAATAAATTATTGAGAATTTGTTACGTCATTTAATTTTGTAAAAGCATTCTTTGAATAATTATTAACAAATTGTTTTAAACGATCTTTATTTTATTACATATTGCATTTACATATTTATCTCAATGACTCTTTGAATATTTCTCAATGTGCAATTGATCTTGACGTTTACCACTAAAGTTCAAAGAGAAAAAAAAACTTAAAAAATTTAAACTCCTGGCACTTAAATTTATGTAAAGGCTTACTTTGAACAAATTAATAGGTTTTTGTGGTTTTTTAGTAGATTATGAAAAGGCAAGTTCAATACTGTTTATTTCGATTATTATTATTATTATTTTAAAGACAAAGGGGTTATATACAATTTTTCTAGATTCGATTTCCAAATTTGGTAATAATCCTGACTGATATCACTGATTACGAAAAGCAAATTCCAATCATTCATTTGTTGTAGATAAGGGATCTTATAATTAATTTCAATTAAAAAATAATTAAAAAAAAAAAATCACGTCAACAAAAAAAACCAATAGAGATTCCATAAAAATAATTAATGTTGATCAAATAACTTTTTTCAACATGTCAAAAAATCAAAAAGAAATCAATAAAAAAAGAAAACAAGGATTCGTTCCAAATATCTCTAGGTAAGTGTTTATCAAAAAATGGTGGTGGTTATCACCACTCGTTGTCGTTCTAGTTATATTATTATATTAGGAAATCTCATTTTTTACCACAAAATATAGTTTAAATGTTGAAGAGTATGATGATGAATGAATCTCTTAAATATTATCCTATTGGAAGGAAACAATCAGCATTTTTTATAAACATCCCACTTGAAATCTCCTTCCAGATATGTGAAGATTCTCCGCTATCCGATTTGTCAGCACTAGCACAAACATATTCCAGATTCCACTTTATCTTGATTGATAAATGTGTGTGGCAACTCAACACATTTGGAAGAAATCAAGATTAAATTATTTCAAAGGATTACAACGACTTCCACCAACAACCTGGAATGAGTTACAATATATTCGATTTTTTCTTGCTTCACCTCTATCCTGCTGGTCTTGTGGTAGATTACATTGACTCAAATATATTTGGCAGTTTTATGCGAAATACTGCTATAGGTGTTTACAGGTACAAGAATCATTAAATAATTACATAACGTTTAATTTAATTGATTGATTAAATAATCAGATTTATTCATTTATCTACATTTATTTTTTTAACAATTTCAGAGAAAATACTGTTAGAGCTAATGTAACTTAAAAATGGAGCCTGTTGTTAGCTATGATGAAGAAAGTAAAAAAAAGGCTTGATGATCAAACAAAATACATGGGCGAATGTGAGACTCGTAATAGAGAATGTCGTTTGTGTATGATAAAATTTATTGAAAAAATGAACAAACACGTTGATAAAATTCTTGAGGAGGGGAAATTAACATTAAATTACAAATCTTATTATTATATTCAAACTAATTTCACTTTGTACAAAAATGCAACCTTCCATCTTGCTGAGGTTGATAAAAAATCTCCAAAAGAGTACTGGGGAAGATTAAAACATCAAATGATATACAAAGCAGAAAAACCATGTCAACAGGAGCTTATCTTGAAGCACATGTTAAAAAAATGGCCTTGTGTTGGACCCAAGAAACAAGTTGCTGAAACTTTCCTTGAAGAGATAGATAATCCTCTCAAGTTGATCTCTACACAATTCTTTCACCATTATATCATCGTGACCTTTACACTATTTACTCTGAGAGATTCCTTGAAAAGCATGTAATATTGGCATTAGTAAAAGAAGCAAAAAAAAACTTGATCCTTATTTCCCCGAAGGAAATATTATTATGATCAAATCTGCAATTACCATGGGTATCAAAGCATGAATTTTTAGATGCATGCTGCTAAATTGCAAAGGGGAAGAACTAAGGTTGTGGGCGAAACTTCTTCAAACTTCAAGAAAAGAATCCAATCCCCAACGGCAGACGACTTGAAAATACTAGTTCTCCCATCCCTTTCTAATTCCTCAACGATTTTTGAAAATGTGGATTTGGAAATACCTCCCGACCTTTACAAATGGACTCAGGATCTTATTCATGTGGCAACAAAGCACTGTAGAATTGAAGACCATCGCTCAAAAGCTTTAAGAGAAAGACTCTTACAAAAATTGGCATGCGATGGTCCTCTTAGACACTCTCAAGTTGATCTCTATATGGTTCTTCAACATTGTCGTAGCTACAAAGACCCACCAATATATCAAGGTGGTGCCTACACTATTTATTCTGAGAGATACCTTAAAGACCAAGTAGTACCAGTGTTAGTAAAAAAACTTGATCCTTATTTCCCTGAAGGAAATATTATTATGATCAAATCTGCAATTATCATGGGTATCAAAGCATGCTGCTAAATTTCAAAGGGGAAAAACTAAGGTTGTGGGCAAAACTCCTCCAGAAATCAATTTACAGAATTTTCCCTCTATGCAGCTTGCCCCTCAACCGCAGCTAAGCCTAAAAACTTCTTCAAACTTCAAGAAAAGAATCCAATCCTCAACGGCAGACCACTTGAAAATACTAGCTCTCCCATCTTTTTCTACCATAGTGTCTTTGGCCAATTTCTTTTTGCTGTCTACGATGAATTTTTAAGAGCTGATTCTATACAACAACTTTTCATTCCTCCTGCTCCATTCCTCGAAGATTATTTAAATTCAACAGGTGATGGTATCTCATCTTCTATTTCAAGAAGAAAATTAGAATTGTATTGTGATTTTTGTGTAGTGCATCAACAATATATTAGGGCAGCTGAAATTAACGAGTATTTGGCACAGAAATCAGGGGATGATCTACTTTTGAAAGATCGATTACGTTATTTAAGTCATGCTGTTGGGCACATAGAAAGTGCAAAAGAATCAAATGAAAATGAAAGAAGTGTAATTGTTCTATTACAAAAATATCGTGCAGAGTTCAAGATTGCACAAATTCAATTTGACATTCTACAAGATATAGAAAAAATCTCAGAGGAAGAGTACAGTAATAATGCAACCTCCTTTAGAAAACCAACTAAAACTGAATCAATATCACTACTTAATCAACATCTTTTAGATGCAAAAACTTTATTAAATGACTTTATTATACCTTATGATTTAAAAGAAAGAAAATCAGAGTTGACGCGAGTTTATGTCTAATTATAAAATGTACACTTACAAGAAAAAATTTCTTAAACAAATGTTTCTCATCAAATGAAAACATTATATATTTTTAATATGTATTTATCATCATTGTCATCATCATCATTATATTATGATCCAATTTTGTTACAAATTTCAATTCTTGCAAGAATATTTCTATTAAAATTGTTATATGGTTTTTAAGTTAATAACTTAAAAAAAGGTTTTTACGCCCATCACATTAATTGGGAGAGCGGTCATATATAAAGATTAATATTAACATTAATATGGAAAGGAGATTTTTCTAAATTCAGACAAAAAAATAATTTTATTTGATAAATAATAAAACAATTAGTTGATTATAAAAATTAAAAATTGGTTTAAATAAAATAATTAAATGAAAATGAAAAAAATCCAAGTCAATAAAATAAGTTTCAAGTTTTCATTCGATGCTGTTTTATTGGGGTGCGCGACATTCTAAGAAAACCAATCTAATTAATTTCATATAGAATTTCCGATAATAAAATGTGCAGTTTTCAAATTGTTATTTCTCCCCAATTCAACAATATAGGTATCAGATGTGTGTGAAAAGATAGTAAATAGGTAGTATTTTAAAAACTCTAGAGTTATTTACATTTTAAAAAATTCAGTATTGTAAAATATTCATTCGAAAATTTCCTTTATTGCAATACTTTTTTTTTGTTCGATTACAAAACAGAAAATTAACGGTACCTAGACGTTTCCCCGACAAATACATTTTGTATTACAATATTTATTTGTTTCCCTGTCATTTCATAGCCGGCTAAGTTTATCAAACCATTTAAGTCTATTAACCCATTCATTAGGCGACTAAGCTGTTTAAGTCGTTTAGGCCATTCATTAGCCAATTAATATTAAATATAGTTAACAAAATCTTGTCGGAGAAATTTCCTGTCGGGGAAATGTATTTGTCAGGGAAACGTCCTGTCGGGGAAACGTACCAGACCCAAAATTAACGTATTCTCTCTGTATCAGTACTCTATATACAGTTTCAATCGAAACAATTTATTTTTTTTGCAAATAGACGAATTTTGGAGGAGAAATAATGAAAAAACTATACATATAGATTTTATCTTATTGATATGGTGCGCGTCGTCTATAAACTTTTAAACAAATTAAAATCCTTTCCATAAAAGTAAACGATCGCTGCTAATTTTCGTTGTATCAATAAAAAGAGAGGCGATTTATTAGCAGACTGTAAATTATGTAAAGTTAAAGTTAAAGTTATGGGTGAAAATAAGGTAGATTGTTGTTCTAGAAGGATCCTTTTGATGCAACCTGATTTTAAAAATCAAAAGTGTGCATTGAAGGAAGCTATTTTAGAAGCATGGCACTTATACATTTTTTACCCCAAATTTCATTGTGAATTAAACTTTATTGAAAGGGTAAAGCAAAAAAATATGTTTGAGAGAAGTGTGACTATACATGGAAGGGTTTACTGAATACAGAAGCTCTAAGTTCGATAGGTGTAATGACAATTAGAAGATTTGCTAGTTTTGTATAAACTTACTGTTTCTGGGACAAAAGCTGGATTTTTCTGAGACAATTTATCCGGTTTATAGCCACAAGGTGTTCCAGAAGCCTATTTCATGTATTTCGATACCATTATTTTTTTTTATATCATGTTATATGGGAGGAATTCACTTTACCGACAATCACTTTACTGAATGTTCATTTTACCAACAATTCATTTTATTGACAGTTCATTTTACCAACAGTTCATTTTACCAACAATCATTTTACCAACAGTTCATTTTGCCGACAGTTCATTTCACCGATAGTTTACTTTACCAATAGTTTACTTTACCAACAGTTCATTTCTACATCATGTATTAAAGTGTCAGTGAGTTTATCAACGATATTAAAGGGTTTATTAGTTATGCAGATGTGTGTGAATTGTTTTGTTTTGTTGTTACTAATTAATTTAATTGTATATAAGAAGCTTAAATTCAACATACTTGTAAAATAACTTTGTAAGAAGTTTTATAATAAAAATTAACTTAGGAATAAGTTAATAAATTAGTTTCGACTAAATAAATCATTTTTCTTAAATCACTAAACCAAAATTATTCACTAATAAAACTAATTAGTTAGTAATAGCCAATTCATTCTGATCCACATAATCATAAATTCATAGAGTTATCATGCTCTCCCGAAAGAAAAATTTGTGTTTTTATTTATTTAATATATTGCCTTTGTTACTATAAAAAATTATGCATGGAAAATGTATGGAAAAAGCATGGAAAATGTACAGGTAATTCCATTATAATTGCTATCCAGAAAAGGTATGGGATTTTGCCATAAAAGAGCACTTTTCCATACATAAAATCAAGGAAATATGTTGGGAATATGTTATGAATATGCGCAGAATATGCACGGAATATGACATGAAAAACCAGAATATTCACGGAAAATCATTACAGAATTAGTACGGAATTGTATATGAATTTGTATATTAATATTAATGAAATTGGAATGTGAATTGGGATATGATTAGTATGGGATTGGGTACAAATTTGAATTTTGTATTTTGAATTTACTGAGCAACATGTCTTATTTTAATTGTAATTTTATTTTATTAATAATAATATATGCAAACACAAATGTATGCACAAAAAAAAACAGTTGCATTCATGAATACATTTATATAATTTTTTGTAATTAAATAATTGGAATAAAATATCCTTAATTTCTCAAAAAAAGCCTTCAACAAAAAAAATATGCAATATTAATGAAGTCACTAACAATATTTTAAAAATGAATAATTTAATTTCTTACACTTATTTTTTGATCTTTCTTTTTTTTCACATAAATTTTCCCTATAAATTTTATTCATAAAATAAATAATTTGTAGAAATGAATTTCCAAATAATAAATTAAAATTTTCTTACTATTACTATTATTGGAAACTGTGGCAATAATATTATTATTCTGGTGATTACACAGATAACTTTTATTATTATCATTATTACTCTTACTGTTACTTGTGGAATCTTCATTATCATCATGATCCCTACTACTACAGTCAACCCCCTCTAAGTGCACCCCCCTCGGGAATGAGTGATAGCGTGCACTTAGAGGGGGTGTGCACTTAGAG